GATGCATCATCTTTTTCGTTTGCTCATTGGCCGTCACTTAGTGTTACAACCGCAAGGCCGACGCCGCATGGCCTGGAGACTGCCGCGCCGGGCGTCGAGGCTGTTATCGCTATGACTTGCGAGCACGCATGTTCAACACCATATTACCTAGTTTTTTATCAGTTATCAGCTCTGACAGGATCTTGAGCAATTTAAGACGACTAGGTTAGCAATGTTAGTACAAATTAGGAGCCCTATTTCATCTACAATCTACAGTCAGGGAGAACTCAATACCTCTGAAGAACACAGACAAACACGGAACTGGAGTCTATGTGACAACTATCGGACCACCTGCGGTAATCATGGATGTTGTGTCAATAAGGGTCACTGTGCTGATCCGGGGCCAACTGTGCGGGTCAGCAGACTTCCCGTGTCAGGGAGGGGAGCAATATGAATGTGATATCCTTCTCATGGCCTCCGGGTCGACCAGGAGATCCCGCTCCGTGCCACCAGAATGATAGCCAGAAGACCCTCGTGATGTGACGGAATGGCCCTCCAGCCCTTGACCGGAAACGGTAATGTACCCCTGGTGTTCTTCTCAAGAGGCCTCTTGTCCGGAAGGAAATAAGGGGTCTCATTATTATTGGGTAAAGGGGTGTCTCATTATTGTTGAATAAGATGGTTCGAAATGAGCTTAAAAAACGAGCAAGGTCATGCATGTTTGCCCGAGAACGTTCATTTTATCAGACATTTTATTTGAACATTAATTTTATTGAAACAAATAATATCAAAAGGCTTGAACATGCCCGCCCGCAACCTCGACAGCAAGGACAAGGATGGTCTGGGTTGCAACTTCCGTAAAACCGAAAAGTTTCAGCCACTGCAAGTGCCACCAGACGGCGAGCGCCATATTAATCCGTCTTTTGGATAGATCAATAGCTCAAAAACACGAAAAATAGAGATTTGCCTTTACTGTTCTTGTTCAACCACCAGATTCCAGCTCCACTTCGGGGTGCTTTAAGGGCCAATGCGTTCTTTTCATCAGTCTAAAAATTGCGCACGTGAAATATGCGCTCAGACTGCCTTCTAAATATAAAATGTGATGTCATGAAGCGTTCAAGGATACTTTTTCAGAAGCGTCGTCATTTTCGTCCACCCGTTGGCCACAACTTAATACTAGCTGTTAGGCCCACGCTACGCGGGTGCGGAAACTGCAACGCCTGGGGTCGAGGCTTGTGTTTCTAAGATTTTCGAGTGCTCATGCTAAAAATTAGGTCACAACTTGTATTACTAGTCGATTTAAGTGTTTAAAGATAATCATTTCAGAAGCGTCATCATTTTCATCCACCGGTAGGCCACGGCTACATATTAGCTACTGGGCTGACGCTCCGCGGACTTTGGAGACCGCAACGCCTGGTGTCGAGGTTTTTGTTGCAAGATTTGCAAGAGAAAACCGTGCTGTTAATTAACAAGCAAGCTATATCCGGGGATCTTGGGGGAAGGGGGGTCACCATAAGATGGGCTTTTGTCAACCTTGTGTTCCCCTTGGCAAGGCTCCGGCTGCGCCCCTGCCTACACACAAAATCAAATCAAGTCGTATACGTGCATGATGGGCAATGAAGCGTCCGTTGGGCCAATTCATATCTAAGGCAGACAGCTTTCTGAAGGCTATTTTCCTGCGATGGTATGGCGTGAGGGAAGGTTATTCTGAAAAAAGATACTGTTGTAGGTGTCCAACCCATGTTTCATGCACCATGTAGTAGTAACGCTGATCCAAAAGCACGCAACAAAGCAGCCATGCGATCAGTTCGCAGTCAGCCATGCGGGAGACACGCGGGCCCAGGTAGTGGCCACAGACGGCGGACAGGAGCAGGGCCCAGCTAAGGAGCATATGACAGATGGGCCTTATTATGCGGCTTGATTCTTGAAACGAAATCTCTAGTTTTATGGCTTTTGTCACACCGTTTCTAGCAGTTTCAAGCTACCAAATTTATTTCCGCCTAAAATGCTGGGACAAGTCTTATCTCTTGAAAAGCAGCCAGCGAAATGAAGCCACATGAAAATTTTTCACACTGTGAGCCGTCGATTCAATTGCAAAATTCTCACCAGCCTATATCCAGGCTGTATTTTGGCATCTACACTGTGGAGGCAGATAATTTCTCAATGAACCAAAATGCCTACCAGCTGAATTTCTCCTCTCCAGGAAAGACAACGTTAAAAGGGACAATAATCTAAGGAAGCTGGACAGCCTTATTTGCCAAATGACAGATCGAATAGGCAAATTGTGCGCCAGTGATAAGCAGCTCTAGATGCATAGCTAGCATAGCAGCCATGACATTTGAAGAAAGAGCGATAGCAATCTCCATCTCTACCACCCCCCCCCCCCCCCGGTCATCGGGCTTGGTTTCCAGAAAAAGTTACTGAAGTGCATATTGAGCTTGGCCCCCCCACCTTTTGAAACGTTTCTTCACCTATGCCCTGCTTTACCATCTCAATACGACAAAAAAGTTCAAATTCCACAGTTTGACCTGTTCTACGCACCAAGTCAACTACATCCTGAATGTCAAATTTACTGACGCTCTGGAAACCTATAAGACAGTATCTTAAGACATCGACATCAACCAGCAAAATAACATTCTCTTCTTGCAAGCAAAATTATGTATCGAAAGAAAGAAAGCCATTGATTAAAAAAATCCTTCGGTATACACCAACATCGAAATAAAACATTTTGCATACAAATCCATACCAACACACAATCACTGGCCAAGGAGGAACATTTGCACACATTCGGAGGCTTGGTATTCCACGTCATCAATTTCAGCAAAAACTGCGGTTTACTGCAGGCATAGCATATGACAAGTCAACGCAGAAAAAATATTGGGCGCGCAAGTACCTCACCTCGTAATTCGTGCCCATGGCCCGTGACAAAGCCAGTGCCATGTTGCGTAACATTAACGCGCGCTGGCCTACCGCGTGCCGACAACGCGCCGCCCTTCAAAGCGACACGCAGCTCGGAAGACAGATTGCACGCCGCTGATAGGTGGAGCCACGCAGCAGATCTAATCAGGTCAAGCTATTGCGCCGAACGAAATAGGTTACTCGCATATGGGTGACAACATGTAATTCAGTCGACTTATCGTCAAATGCGAGCGGCATACACGCGCCGGCAACGGTGCAGCTACCGCCCAGTCACGCGCCCCGCACCGTCCCACGCGAGCGGCGGCCAGCCGCGCGCGCACGCTTGCTTACCACCACCCCACCGCCTCCTCTGCTTCTCTGCGCACCGTCTTACCTCGCCGCTCGTGGGTTGAGTTGCAGGCGCCCATGGGCGGAAATAATCTGTACCGACAAAAAAGGCGAGAGGAGCTGAGGTCTCAATGCATCAAAAGCCGGTAAAAGTACTAAAAGTGATATATATATATATATATATATATATATCACTTTTAGTACTTTTACCGGCT